CTTTGACGTTATGGCTTTGTTCAACGATGATGATGACGAAGAGTTTGAAGGTTTCACCGAAGCAGACTTATAGATGTTTAATGAATGTGTGATATATGTGAGTTTGCATTCTTTTGCCATAATAGGCATGTGAATTAACTGTTTAGTCAACTGTGACAATTCTTTTGTTCTTCTACAAGTTGTGTGTGAATTGTTTTTTTGTTTTTTTTCGATTTTTACACACCTTCCTGCAAGAACCTTTCAACTATCATAGACCTTCTATATAGGCGACGATGTGCATAAATATAAATTGGAAGATTTTTGCAAAACCGTAAGTGCCACAGTTCAATATGTGTAAAAAGTAGAAAAAAGGCTTTAGAGGTCGCATTTTTAAGTCGATTTTCTTCGGGTTTTCATTTGAACACTCTACCTGTAATTTTTGACCTGATAGCACTTAAAAAAATTACGAAATTTGAAAATTCGTAGCTCACTTTTTTCGATCAAATTTTTCGATTTTTTTGCAACTTTTTTGTTTTTGCATCGATTGATCTGAAATTTAAAATGCAAAGAGAGTTCACTAATGTTAATAATATGGTACAGTCAAATTTTGTACATCATTTCTGTTTTTAAACAGGAAAGCGACTGAACTTCAAATCTACTTCCGGTTGAATAACTTCCGGTGTAATTTATGTAGGTCAACAAAATTTAGCTGATCTTTAGCAAATAAAATTCTAAGGCCGATTTTAAAATAAAATAAAATAAAAAAGTGATACTTTTCGGCCGCCATATTGAAAAAACACACTTTTGTGAATCGAAAAATGGGGCCTCTATGGAGAAATGGGCGTGTATAATTTTGATTGCCAACAAAAACTAGGAAGTCGATTTTTGAATTTCGCTTTTCCTTTTTTGCAACTTCCCGTTGAAGTTTTTTGCAAGTTCTATCTCGTGACCTTGACCTTTGATGACCTTGACCTTAATAGGGTTAAAGGTCATTGGCCTTGGCTATCAGTTGATACTTTGACAATTGACCTCCGACTTGTTATCAACTAAGTTATTTCAGCTTTCTAGTTCCAAAAAAGGAACGGGTTTTAAAATTTCCATATTTTCGATTTTGACCTTTGTTGACTTTTGATGACCTTTATCTTTTGACCCGTATTATGTAGATGCTTGGCATTTGGAACACAACATAACATTTTGAATATCAATTAAGTTTTTTGCAAGTTCTATCTCGTGACCTTGACCTTTGATGACCTTGACCTTAATAGGGTTAAAGGTCATTGGCCTTGGCTATCAGTTGATACTTTGACAATTGACCTCCGACTTGTACTTTTGGTTTTATAGCGTTCCGAAAACAGCCAAATTCGCAACTTTTGACTGCTCTAGCATATGACCTAAATAACCTAAAGGGTCAATTTTTTCGGATTCTTAAAGTGTATGGAAAGTCAATTATGGGCCACTTGACACCTACCGTGAATGTTTCTATATATCCTATTGTATCCAATTCCAATCTTATAATCGATATTTAAGATACATGTATAAGTAAAACAAAGACGATTTGTGTTTAATTCCCGTTTGTTTACAAAGACAGTCCGCCATTACGTCGTATTAATCACATGACCACATGACGTCATATTTGGAACCATCGTTAACCTCATAACCTTGATAGGCTACGTTAATGTTTACAATATTCACATCAAAATGCCGAAGCGCGGTGTCGCGCAATTTTGCAGCTAAAGAAAACAGTTAACACGGCTTTCCAAAAGATGCTGGTATGGGTCAAATTCGTACAATTCAAGGCGTCGACTGAAAACTCTGTTATTTATTTCACTTCAAAACTCTTTATTTTTATAGAAAATATTCTAAATTGGAAAGTTGACATAGCCAGAAAAGTGTTTTAAAATTCGATTCGCATATGAGACCCCATTAGAAATATATTATAGGTTCTTATTTCTAATTAATACTAAAAAAATCGGCATTTAAACTTAGCCAAAACGGTGAAATATCAATTTTCCAGAATAAAACAGTGGTAATGGCGGCCATTTTGGAACACCTTTGAAGCGTAACAAAAGCGAAAAATGAAGTTGATTTCATGAAATTTCAGTTTATCTCAAACACTAAACTCATAAATGATTTAAAACTATCATTTCTTAATTTAAAATATATTTTGAGCGGATAGTTTCATATTATTTCAATTATTTGATCAGAAGGTCTACTTTCACTTTATCATTAATTGGTAGGCCTATCCGATGTGTGTGTTTTACCAATTCAGATTTGGGAACGTAGGAACTCGTGATGTTATGAAAATTACCTATTGTCTTTAAAATAAATTATAATTAAGTTACATGTATCATAAAATAGTTTTAATCTTATAATGACTTGTTCCGTATATCACTTATAAAATGAGTGTGAAGAAATCATACAAATAACGACCATATTTCTCCACTATTACCCCATTCATCATGGAATATCTCAAAGACTAATCAAGATATTTTAATTCTGTAAAGGTTTTCATCGAGAGAAGATATGAATATTTTGAAGCGGGCAAGTTTTAATACAAAATGAACGCTACGAACCAGTCATTATAAATTTATTTCCCAATCAATCTCCATTTTCATGAATTTCGGCAGTTTCTTCGTCCTGGTTTGGCCTTTCACTGTCAGTCACCCCTTCCCGAGGACGCCTAACTGGCTCGAACTGGTAGCCCACCACACCCCCAAACATTTCGTATTCATCTTCTTCGTCTTCAGAATGAGATGAACTGTGAGTGCTTATTGGCTAGGTTGTGTTATCAACTAAGTTATTTCAGCTTTCTAGTTCCAAAAAAGGAACGGGTTTTAAAATTTCCATATTTTCGATTTTGACCTTTGTTGACTTTTGATGACCTTTATCTTTTGACCCGTATTATGTAGATGCTTGGCATTTGGAACACAACATAACATTTTGAATATCAATTAACCGATGCAAAAACAATTGACGTGGGCGTAGCACATCCGGGTTAAATTACTCATTATTGACATTTTTGGCAAGAGACATAACTCGCAAAGTATACATTTGTTCAAAATGGAACTTTGCATACAATTACCTCATGTTTTGAGCCACTTTGTCTTAGAAGTTCGATTGTTTCCGCTTCATAGTTCAAAAAAGGGAACAGGTATTAGAAATTCACAATTTTCAATTTTTGACCTTTACCTTTGATGACCTTGACCTTTATTGGGTTAAAGGTCATTGACCTTGGCTATCAGTTGATGCTTTCATATTTGACCTCTGACGTCTACTTCCGCTTTTATAGCTTTCCAAAAACAGCCAAATTCGCAAAATGTGACCTAATTAACTTTGAGGTTAAATTTTTGTGGATTCTGAATGTGCTCATTGTGCTCTTTCCAGTGATATATAAATTGAATTTTCTGAATTTTTGAAATTTCGGTGTTTTTTTACAATATGTTAGCTTCTTTAAACTGGTTGTATGTATTTCTTATGACCTATTTGCTGTAAAAGCTAGGAATTCGGAACACAACGAGACATATTACATATAAATTAACTTATGACAAAAAAGTTGAGGTGGGCGTGGCACATTAGGCTTAAATTACTTATTATTTACATTTTTATCAGGGGTATAACTTGTATAAAATACATTTGTGCAAAACAGGACCTTGCACACAATTAACTCACCCCTTTGGCCATTTTGTTTGAAAAGATCAGTTGTTTCAGCTTCGTAGTTCAAAAAAAGGAAGAGGGTTTAAATTTTGCATATTTTCAACTTTTGACCTTACCATTGATGACCTTGACCTTTGTAGGATCGAAGGTCATTGACCTTGGCTAAAGATTAATACCTTCATATTTGATGTTCATCGTCAACTTCCGGTTTTATAATGTTTTTATTTTCAAAGTTTGATGACTCATATCTAGTGACGTTGACCTTAAATGACCTTCCACTTAACATGGTCAAAGGTCATTGACCTTGGAAATCTAATCATACTTTCATATTTTATGTCTGGTTTCAACTTCCACTTTCACAACCTTCCAAAAAAGCGAAATTTTCAAAAATTTTCACTGCTTTAGCACGTGACCTAATTGGCTAAGAACGTTGATTTTTTCAGATTCTCTAGCAAATTGGCATAAGAGCAAAGTCCCACTCAGTACCACGAGTGGTTCTAGTTGTTATTGTTGTGATTTGATAATCTAAATAAATGTCATTGTCTTATTGAATTTCTAATCATTTATAGTAGCTTGATTGAACCGATTTGATGTAGAATATCGATCGAATAACCCAATACTTTTTTCATTTGCTATCACCCCCCGCATAGATTTATCGACTTGTATTGCCTTCTTATTGCATTGAGTCTGCGCAGTGACTAGAAATAAATGGCGAATATTTTACATTGTACATTATGAGGATTATTTTTGGAAACGGGGAGATCTATACAAACTAAGTAAATTTAGTAAGCGCATTTGAATTCTAACAAGGCTTGTTTCCAATTGAAAGTTCTCAGCAAGCATGACATCAAGTATAATGGCTATGAAAACCATACAAAATACAGAATGTTCGTGGGGAAAAAATTATTTCACCATGTATAGTGCGCACCCCTTCTGTGTGTAGCCCTTTTCAGGGTAAAAACCTGCGCATTATACATGGAAATATACGGTAATCGATCAAGACAAAGAACAAATCATGCGTAGATTTTACCAAAACGAACTTCACAAATCTGACTTTCAAAAATGAATAGCTTTCTCGATAAATATGGAACTGATACAACTACAAATATACATACTTCCGATCAAAAAGGAGTTCATCATTCTGCTTTGTACAAAGACTGTTTAAATAACTTTTATTTCTTTGATTCCTTTGGATTAGAACCAACTGAAGAGATAATGAAATTGACTAATCAACCAATCAAAGGTTCTACATTTCAAATTCAATTACCAGGACAAAAGTTTTGTGGTGAGCTTTCACTTCGGGTTTTATATCAGTTGACTTTAAGAAAACAGTTTGAAGAAATTATAATAAATTTAACTTAATAAAAATGGCAAATAAATTTGGTTTGGGTTCTTTACCTTTAGATACTAAAAAACCTAACACAACAGCATGGATAAATAAAGCAAAACCTTATTTTGTTGATCAAATTGGAGGCACTCTTCAAGGTGATTTAGATATGAACAATTTCAAAATAACTAATTTAAAGTCTCCGGAAAACGATAATGATTCTGTTCACAAGAAATATTTACTGGTTCAAATAAATTCAATTGAAGTAAATAAAAACCATTTAGAAGATAAAATAAGTAATGTTAAAAGATTCTTCAAACGTCAACTAAATAATAAAAATGTTATTAATGATACTAAACTACAGCAAGAGGTAAGACCATTTTTTTTTTATTACTTGGTTTACGGATTCGCCGAGGTTACTTTTTGTAAAATTACAATAAAAAGAAATATTTATTTGCGAGTTTTTTTTTAATTTGTGTAGTTTCTGCCGACCAGTAACATTTCCATGCATGTATGTCGTGGAAATAAAAAACCCCTTTATTTTCATGTAACTAGAAAACAAGTTTTCTGACACGATTCGTCTGGGTTTTGTTCCATCTTTCAAATATTTCTCGTGATATGACCTTGACACTGAGAGGTGTATTCTCTCCCTTGAATACAAGACAACTCGGACCATAGACAGTTAGGACATTCAAATTCTTATAGAAAGTGACAAGGAGGACGCGCAAACTTCCAGCAGAGTGCAGTTGAGGATTCTCATTTTGGATTTTGATCAATGGAATTGTTTTGCTTGTTTTTATTATCTGGGATTAATTAAAAAAATAGTATTTTATTTATATTTATTCCTAAATTATAAATTTTAATAATACATACAATTACATAAATTAGGGTTCCAAAAACAAGCCGAAGCTAGAACATTTATACAAGATAGCTTGCAAGGCAAGGTAATATACGCCCACTGGCAGCTTTGATTTTGAATAACAATATTTAGCAGTACAGTAACAATCACCAGTATGAAATATTCAACCTTCAACTCTTTAGGGCGATACTGAATAATACTGAGTTTTTGAAAAAGTTTTCAATTTTTAGCACGTGAAAACTCTAGAAGGCAAAATTCAATCTTCAGCACGGTATTGAATAATAAAACCAAGTTTTGTCAAAATATGGCAAGAATCATGCCTTTTAGAGTTTAAGCTAAAATTTGAAAGCGTTTTCAAGAACGAGGTCAATAACTCCTATAAAACATATTTCGATGTTTTTTATTTTATAAACAATAATAAACAATTTCACCAAGTTTCGTCAAAGTCTGTTAAGAATTGAGCCATTAAGAATGTTTACGAGCTAAAAATTGAACACATTCTCAAAAAACATGGGCAATAACTTATACTAAACATATTTCGATTCTTCTGATTTTCAATAGGGTTCATCCTTGGGTGATTACGAACACTCATACCAAGTTTTGTCAAAATCTGCCAAGAATTGTGTCTTGTAGAGTGTTTACGAGCAATTGTGGACGGACGAAAGGACGGATGGACACGGGTGACAGCAATATACGCCCCCCATTTCAATGTGGGCACATGACGTCTATATTTAGTGGGCTTAAAATACACATTATTGGTTGAAAATAGATCAAATTACCATCTTAATTAGGGGATTAATTAATCAGGCAATGAAACTATTATTACGTGATGAGATTCACGCGTGTTACCAGCAATCAAGGTACATGATAGATATTTTGTTGATTTATAGTAGAGAATTTCACAGGTCGGTAGAATCCGGTATCCCGTCAGTAGAGCGGTGGACAAGATGCAAAAACGGTAAAAACCGGACAACATCGGTAGATTACACATGCATGCACCCAACAAATGCTTGACCAAACTTTGGAGTCTTACATATCTTACATATTACTAATTTACTGCCAGTGACATTCAGTGTCCACTGGACACTCCAGTTCATTTGCTATCTGCATGAGGGGTGACAGTATTTTTGTTGAAGGCTCCACAGTTGCCAGATCGACAGATCAAACTTGAAGGGTCTGCACTCGAATTATTGATGAACGCATCAAAAAAGTACGACACAGAGTTCCTGAAGAAAGGTAGTTATGCAATTATTGAAATTTTATCTTGATGGGCATAGGTCTAAATTTAATCTGTTCTGTGACTACTTCTATGATCTGGTGTTAGTATTGGGTATTCATGTACATATGGTCAAAAGGTTCTAGTCCAACATAAACAGCGTTTTTTAAACGGTTTGTAATTTTTTTTTTATTCCCTCGATCGCTACTGATATTTTTAGGTAGTATAGAATAATATAAAATAAATTTCAGGAGGTCTATTTTTGTTTTTTTTTTATTTCGTCCTCCAACATCCAAGGTTAACTAAAAAAATCTGTAAACCAAATAATAAAAAAAAATGGCCAAACAAGTTTTATTCAACAACAATTGGTTGATGTAGTAGAAAAAACTCAGTTACAAAATTTAATTTAATTGATATCTCAATTAGATGATAAGATTGCAAAACAAAAATTATATGTTCAACAATTAATAGATAACATTCCAGCTGAAAATGAAGATATATTTCAACAGAAATTTCTAGAAACTAAATTTAACAGTGAATTAAAAAAAGAACTAACAAATATTAAACAACAAATCAAAACATAGATGATAGCAAAATCAAAATCTATATTCAACAACAAATACAAAACATTGATGATAGCGAAATTAAAACCTATATTCAACAACAAATACAAAATATTGATGATAGTGTTATTCAACAATATGTTCAATCCCAAATATTCAATAAACCATATGATGTTACATTACATATATATATATTTATTTGCAAGACGTACATCTTACTTCATCAATCTCATTGTACACAACTAACAATCATAAAAGCATGCAAACACCGACGCCGACCTCTGCACATGCGCTAGAGTTGCGCACTTAATGTGATTACTACCATTCATGGTGTTTCCTTTCTTTAAGGCATAGATGTATTAATTTACATGATTTTCTTGCTTACAAAATTTTCCTTTTATTTTTCGTTCCAAATAAAACCATATTTTTTTGTAAATTACATTTCTTTGATATAACTTAATAATCCTATATATAGATCACCTTATTAATTACAAAACATACATCTCATATCAGGTGAGCTGATTGCTGTAAATAGTTTTTGACATGATGCACCAACCTTAGTAAAACAATCTGGTTTTGACTTTCAACCCAATAACATTTTGTATTTCCCCTCTTGCCAACATGTCTCTTAATACACATATGTCCACTTTAAGGCGCTTATCAACCAGTGTTTTTGTGGAATGTACTGTTTCACACAAAGATTTATTGTCAGTCAGACAGATCTAATTTGGCTAATATGGAGGATTTCACATAACACAATTCGCAATAATTGACAAGCCTCTGCTGCCTCCACCAATGCTATTGTTTCACCCAGGTCAGGAAATATGAATTCTACATTTTCCCTTAATTTTGAAAATTGGCCGCCATCTTGGAAATGGCTGGCGGGAGCAAAATGTCATGACCAGCATCTGTTTCATTTGTTCATTTCCGATCTTCACAGTCGGATATAAGATATTTCCATCTTTTCTGGTGGCCATCATTGATTTTGGCGGCCATCTTGGAAAATATGAACCAGTGTAGTGGGTTCCACTGATAAATTCAATAGATAGGTCGAAGAGAAACTCCATGCAAAATTTGGTACTTTTGTCCGGCCAGTAACGTTAATTCTGAAAAATCGTGCTTAGCCACCTCACTAAGTGGTCAACATACACACCTCTATGGGTTTGCTACTTGACTTGTCCTTCTTTTCCCTGAACTTTACAGCTTGCATGTGCCCTGTTTGTGACTTCATGAAACATGATGTCCCCTTTTCAAGTCTTGTAGTGCCAAGTTCACCAGGGTAATTTGCACGCTTTGGGTTGACGGTTCCACAAAGGTATGTATCATGATCAATGAGGAAAGTAGCCAAAGCTGGAGATGTGCCCAAGGCCAAGATATGGTTGCATCAGGTTCAGAGGAATTCGCTCAGTTACCAGCATTTGTGGCTCTGGATCATGATGATCCCTGAATGTGTTCTCACTGGAGTAAACAATGATATCAAGAGAGATGCCCTCGGATGTACAAAGTTCATAGAATTTTATTCCAAAACGAGACCTCTTAGTTCTGATACATTGTTTGAATAGAAGCCTGTCTTGAATAATAAAAGAGACTCATCAACGCAGAGATCTTTACCAGGGGCATACACCCATCTCATACGGTCCCTTATTTTATTGATCAGTGGCCTTACCTTGTAAAACTTGTCCCTATCAGGATCTCTGTGGTCATATGCTGGGTATTTGTTATTTGAAGAAGAAACCTATCCCTTGTCATTATGTGCCCAAATATAGTGGTTTCTATCAGATCTTCCCTGGACCAAGCCTTGGCTTATGAATAACACCCATCAGTCCAAGCAAACAAAAGAATGTCTTCATTTCTGCTACAGTGGTGTCCTTCCAGGAATGAACCCTGGAGAACTCTTTGAGGTTCTGGTTCTCCGCCTTGAACTGATGAGCATACCTGTTTGTTTCCTCTGCAATATATCCAAAGATGTCATCAGTGAAGTACTGGGAGAAGAATTCATCAATAGTAGCATTGTCACCAGGGATCATGATTTGCCCATATACTAGACATAACTGATTGTCCTGCCAAAATGTCTGGTTTAAATTAGCCTCTATCGGACATCAAGTATAGTATAGTATTTTTTTTTTACCAAACTCCACACTGTATACAATAACATACAGTCATCAAGTCACTTAGCACTAATCACGATAATCCTTTAATCACTATGTATGGTTTCAATTGTTTTCCTATATATAATGCCGTTAAATTCAAATCAGTCATCATTCATTGATATTATCCTGTATCATGTCCATGTTACGATACTTAGCTTCCAACTTTACCAGCACCAAGCATAAGCGTGACGAAGAAAATGTCGGTCATCAAGTGGTTATTCTTGACGATGATAACTTGCCGGTCACTGAAAATAGATCTACTGCTTCGACTAGTAATAAAGTTGGCAGAAGGTTTAATTCCAAGTGGCTGACAAGTTATTCATGGTTGAGATTTGACTATTCCTTGCAGAAAATGTTTTGCCAGGTGAGATTTTAAATATATTTTAGTTGGTTTTTTTTTTTTTGCTTTGATTATGAAAGCTATTGTTACTATTAACAGACTATACTGCGCATGAATACAGTCAGCATCATTCTACACACTTCGTTTTTCTCAAATGGTAACTGATAATTTTTTACTTTTCTATTCCGGCCATGTCAGAAACATAACCAGAAGAACAACTTTGTTACCGGTTCACAGAACTTCATATAATCAGATCATGCCGCTTCTAAAGACCACACGGAATCTGTTAAGAAAGAACTTATAAGTTTTTGCTATCAACCAAGGATGAAACCTGTTGAAAATAAAAAAAATAAGAATATAATTAGTGTGAGTTATTGCCCTTGTTCTTGAAAATGCGTTCAATTTCAGCTTGAAAACAGAAGGTTCAGTTATTGACAGATTTGAGGAAACTTGATGTAAATGTTTGTTATCACCCAAAAATGAACCCTATTTAAAATCAGAAAAATCGAATAGTATGAGTTATTGCCCTTGTTCTTGAAAACATGTTCAATTTTAGCTCGTAAACACTCCACAACGCACAATTCTTGGTGGATTTACATGAAACTTGGTGTGAGTGTTAGTAATCACCCAAGGATGAACCCTATACCCTCAGATATACTGGAGATGAAAAGGATGCGCATTGTACATGTTTGTGCATTATATTTGGAAAAATATGGTATCTTTTGTTTCACGTTCCTCGATTTTTCAATTGAAAATATCTTTGAATATTCAAAATGCAAGTCGAATGATACTGTGGAATAGTCTAATGGTAAAAATCACCATTTGTGTGAGCACTACTTATTTGGGAGTAATAAGCCCAACATAAAGTTGAAAGGCCACTTATAGTTAGTTCCCATAAAATAAACGTCAGGCCAAACCAAGACAATATTTGGTTCTATAGAATCATATGTATATAGGACTCACTCCACTAAAACATTTTATGCAAATGATACGTATGCAATCCAGTGTATTTTTAGAAATCTTCGTTCTCTAGTCCAGGCTATTTCTCTCTCCCTTTCTGCATGCCTATTTTTGGGTAATTTTTGGTCTGAAATTACATTATCTTTAAGATTTGGTGAGATGATGTGAGACCTAAAGGCGGAAGGCTCACTTTTAGACTCGTCTTCCCCTTCCACACCATCTGAACCTTCCGCCAACCTTTCTTCCTTCTGTGCGTTTTTGGACCAGCAAACCACCCCTCAGTCTCCATCCAAGTCGAGACGTGTATCCAGACCTTCCCCCCCTCGAACCAGATCCCAGTCTGTTCCCAATGCTACAATTCTAACAACTACCAAACCAGTACCAATCACACCGTCGACGACCATTATATCCGCTACCAAACCGTATTATCACCAAACCAAGGACAAATCATTATGGAAGCTACCTGCTCTAAAGAAATCTACCTTAATAATTGGATCATCTAACCTGAATCGAATTACCAAAACCAGTTCAGACACCGAAATACATTCTTACCCCGGTGCCCAAATCCATCACATACAGTCAATCCTGGAATCATACGACCATGATCCCAAACCTACTACCATTATTCTTCATGTAGGCCTCAACAAACGTGATCAGCTACCAAAGACCTCCTTA